GAGAAGGGGGGGACGAAAGCCAGCCCCGAGCCCGAATCTTTTTGGTTCTGCAGAGAAATTTCCAGAGGTTCCTTCCTGCAATGTCCTCATTTTCGCAACGGTTTACTCGAGTTCCTTAGTTTTCCAAGCTTGCCATTTATTTTTTTCCTCTAGTTTAATGACGGTATCACTCCTCATCCGCTTGCAAGCTGTCTTGCTCCGAACCTCAACGGACGCCGCTCTCCGTTGAGCTTCGGAGCCTGAATTTTTTCAATATGTTTGCCGCTATGTTCCGCCTTTTTCCTGCGTTTTCTACGGTGCCTCCCCGCAATGTCCTCATTTTCCCAACGGTGTCCTCAAGTTTCCTTGGTTTTTCCAAGCTTGCCATTCATTTTCTCCTCCATTGTCATGGTTTTTTCAACATTTTCCTCTATTTTCCTCCATTTGCAACTCTTCGCCACGTCTTCCTCGGCATCACTCCTCATCCCCTTGCAAACCGTCTGGCTCCGAACCCCAACGGACGCTGCTCTCCGTTGAGCTTCGGACCCTTGGTTTTTTGAATATGCTTGCCTCTATGTTCCTAGCTTTTTCAAAGCTTTGTCCTGCCTCCATTGCATGACTTTTTTTTAAAACCTTTTCCTACGTTCCTACGGTTTTTCCAGAGGTTCCTTCCTGCAATTTCCTCATTTTCCCAACGGTTTCCTCGATTTCCTTGGTTTTTCCAAGCTTGCCATTCAATTTTTCCCGCCATTTTCCTCCATTTTCCCTCTGCTTTTAACGATTTTCCTTCATTTTCTTTGGTTTTTGCCTACCTTTTTCCTACCGTGTTCAAGGGACCTAGGGGGAATCGAACCCCACCGTCACCAAATTGCATAGTGGTACATGCCCCCCCCAAAAAAAACCATTTGCACGGCCTAATCACCAACTAATTTCGAGCTCCAGGGCCACCTGGGCAACGTCCACCCCCCACACCCCCTTATACTCACTTCGTTCGTGAAAACAACTTTGCCTAGCCTATCGGCTGGCTTTCGTAATATACCTTGCCTTGCATAAGACAACGGTCCAATCACTGGTCCAAAAGAAGTTTTCCCAAACAAACTTAAAAATTAAGGTGATACCGAAGAAAAATTTGATTCATCTATCCAGGCTGAAGCTGCATATGGCTATGATCTTTGAGGGCCGGCGCATAGAGTGAGAGCTAGGAAAAAAAGAGGACGCCCTGAAAAATTGAAAATGATCGTGAATTATTGTTCAAGCAGTTTCCTCTTCCTGAACAATCCAAGGCACCCATGCGGGGCTCCATTTCTTGACACGAAAAGATTCCTTTTTGCAAAACTTTTCTGCCAACAAAAGATGTCCATGTGCACAATCTCTTTTCCAAAGAAGGCATCCATTTCAGCGGCTTTCGGCAGGGGACTTCAATGGTCAGAGCATCTTTGGATCCGTTTCCGGGGCGTTTTCTATGTTTTCTTAAATACAAAATTAAATCGCTTTGATGTTGAGAATATCTTTGTCATAAAAGATATCTGTTTCAGGGGCACTTGAGAGCAGGCGGAGGCGGACGAAAGGTAGTGTAGTGGGAGAGGAGTGGTGTCAAAATGCTGCGCCCCTAAGATGATACACCAAAAACGTTTTTGCGCAGTCTAAGATGATTTTATCCAGAGCATGACCGCATGATACGGTGTCTTGTGCAGCGTGAAATGATGCACGAAAAGGGGTTTATTTAAAACCCCTTTTTAAGACCCCTTGCAGCAACTGTTATTGAGGCTGAAGCATACCAATTATGCTGGACTCTAGTGTCAATTAGTGGTGTCAATTCGTATCGATTAGCTCTATTTAGTGGCAAGTAGTGCAATTTAGTGTCAATTAGTGACATTTAGTGTCCAATTAGTGTCAATGAGTGTCATTTAGTGTTCATTAGGGTCAATTAGGATCATTTAATTGTGTGCAATAATAAACAAAAAGCAACCAAAAAACAACAAATGAAGAGTTCCCACAAAAAAGGCAGCTCAAGGCAGCTAATTGTCTGTACCAAAAAAGCAGGGCAAGCAATACACAACCAAAGCACTTACTAGAAATGGTCCGGGCACAACAGGATTCCTTACAGACAAAATTTCAGTCGTTACAAAGTACCAAAGTCTGCCCATCCAATTACTGCGCGCTACAAAATGATGAGGCCGCCTCACTTCACTACAAAATGCATGCTGTGCCCAACTATTGCATGAAGTTCCAACGACCCTCACGTAAGCATGGTATCTAATATGCGTGTCAATTAGTGTGACATTGTGTCATCTAGTGTCAATTAGTGGTGTCAATTCGTATCGATTAGCTCTATTTAGTGGCAAGTAGTGCAATTTAGTGTCAATTAGTGACATTAGTGTCCATTAGTGTCAATTCGTGTACTTTCATTCAGCGTAATGATGAGCAAACAGCAACCAAAAACAACAAAGGAAGAGTTCCGATAAAATTCAGCTCAAGGCAGCTAATTGTCTGTACCAAAAAAACAGGGCAAGCAATACACAACGAAAGCACTTACTAGAAATGGTCCGGGCACAACAGGATTCCTTACAGATTAAACTTAAGCCATGACAAAATACCAAACCCAAGAAAAGGCAGCAAGCACACTCAAATAGCCAAAAGGATGGATTGTGACCATGATTCATTCCGCCTTCCATGAATGTACAGGGCTCAAACACCCTGTAATCTCACAAGGAGAACACTTGGAGTCAAACCCCCAAGCGCATTCTTGGATGATGGAACTCCTCTCAGTCTCAACCCAGGGAAGATGAAATCTCAGGGCAAAAAAAAATGATACGTAACCAGTTCAAGAACACACATAAAGGGAAGCAAGAGCTATCACATGAATCGTGTAAGAGAAAGGAAGCGCGCACGGCAAACTCAGTGTTCCAGAAAAATGGGGCAGATTGCCTGGACGCTAATATCACGTGAACAACAACAACAGCAACAACAACAACAACAACGACAACATTAGTCTAAAAGGGGTTAGTGATTCAAAAAAAAACAGGGTTGAATGGTGATGTTTACTTTGGCTGAATCCGGCAATATAGGGAGCCCTGTATTTATCTATATAAACCCCTCTGCCTTGCAGCCAAATCTTTGCTGCGATCGGCGCGTCGCCCGCGGGAATTGAACCCATGACCATTTTAAGGGGGGGGGGGCCCCCCCTTATAATTGATATCCAATACATAACGGCGAGAATTCCTTATTTAGCCCGGGCTGGCCCCCCAATACCCCCTAAGCTTGTGCTGAAGCACGGAGAACTCAGGTAGCTGACGCTACCTTTCGTGATTAGTTAAAGGGTTTCAATTTGAAGAAGTTTTCGTTCAAAAAAGGCATCCAGTTTGGGGGCCACTGGATTTTCGCAGAAATGGGCCACCCCAATCATCATCCTAATCACACGCAAAATCATCACTATTTGGGATCTGCACTTCACATTCGAGTCAGCAAGACTTTTTTCAAATGAAACCATTGAAATCCCAGGGCTAGCATCCTACTCAATGGAAGTAATCCGCATGATCCAAATCACATGCAATTCCTTTTGAATAGTTTCGCATTGCCGACGGAACTAGACTAGGATCCAGAAATTGCACACGCCCCTTGGATGATCTATATGATCTTAGAAGATTGATTCACGCATGGGATCTGGCAGGTTGTACCCCCAGGTTAAACCCCAACTACTAAGCATCCGCAACACCTATCAAGGTCATGCCACTGCGCGCTTCTACCGAAGGCACAGCGTGCTCTTGCGCAGCTGCGGCGCGCGTACCGCAGCCCACATCAGGCGCCCAACAAACGGCCGGACGAGTGGATGAATGCGGGCCCAAACCAGTTATTCGGGGGCGGTGGCAAGAGAATCCAATAAGTAGTCGTTTCTGATTTTTTCTTGAAAACCTTCCAGGAACCTATCTGTTGATACACCAAACTTGGGATTGCTCATGACAGGTTTACTCATAAATGGCCTCCTCCAAATAAGTAGAAAGCAAAGGTTACAAAATCAGATTAACATTTGAATGCTTGTTTGACTACGGGACTATGACTATGGCAATTGTAGTGCACTCTCTGGACGCATGGAACACTTCAATGCCGCCCCGACCTGGCTAAAACGATTGAGGGTGGCATATGTCCGACATGTCCAAAACGTAGGTGGGTGATGAATGGGTTTCAGGGTCCTTTGTCCTGACATGGATGAAGAGTTGGCCAAAAATGACAGCCAAGGACCCAGTACATCAGGTACATCTCACTACACTAAGGCTTGAACTGGAAAGTCTAGCGGCCAGCATGCACATGACCAGAAGCAGCACCCAGTTGCATCAAAATTCGAAAGGCCTTTTGCTGACGCAAAACGATAAACACATATAAAACAATACCAGGTAGTTTTTGCATCTGCATACATTTCCTATATCATCAAGTCTTGATTGGATACCAGGGCGCCATCCAAGCTGCCAAGATCTGAAGTCTGCACTGTAGCTGTGCCAAATGCTTTCCACTGAGGTCAAGACATGCTCCCTTTTCACAGACTGCTTGGCAATTCGAAGCACCCATGTTGGGTTCTATATATGGTTCCATGGATCTGGGTGAAACGAGATACAATAAATATGAACAAAATATTGATAGATGATCATAGCCATTTGCTGCGCAACGTGCAGCAGGATCGCACCATGAAAGGCGTAGATCGGTCTGCAAGCTATCCTGCGGAGGTTTAGCGGAAAAGGTCTTGACGTTCTGAAGCAATCCCAAGTTGCGGCAGTGGTGGATGGGATGCAAACAAATCAAACAGACTGACGGCACTGTTAGGAGGGCAGTAACCAACCAAATTTTCCGACCCTTCACTCGTAATAGATGGCGGCCATAGGCCCTTCCCTTATGGAAAGCAACATGCAATCAGTCCCGTGAAACCTGAAACAAACAGCAGAATGAATTCTTACCAGTTCTCTACATACCCACAACTCTTGCCCCAGTCCAAACCCACCCTCTGGGGTTCAGCTTTTCCCTGGTCGCCTTCAGCCAACTGGGCCATGCTCTCGTTGGAATCGCTCCAAGTTGCTGCGGCTTCGTTGGGTCAGTGTGTGATTCGGACCATGGAGCTCCTGCCGCGGCCAAGGCTCGGGCGGAACGTGCGGAGTTGATCGGAGTTGAGGAAAGAAACGCGCGACTTTGATCGAAGAACCTTGAGGATTTCACAGGTATAGATTGCTGAGATGCTGCAATCTTTGCATACAGTAGCTACGGAAAACAGAAGACTTCATTCGTTTGTCACAGCACTGAACACTGACTGGTCTCAACAGTTCTCAACATGGGAAGCGCAAGCGGCTTCATGTGGAATGCAATCAACGGTCAGCAGATGTCAGCAGCGTGATCTGCCGTCAATCTGCGTGCCATGGTGATCTCAGAACCCTTGACCGGGTTGGCCCTCGCCAGACCTCCAAACCTTGAAAATGTCGGACATATAGCTGGCCCGCCTGAACACGAGCGGGAAAAATGGATATGACCATGTATATTCACGAAACCATCAGTGAGCCATGAATCTTGAATGAATCTCTGCAAGGGCGAACATGATTTTAAAAACAAACTTACATAATCATCACAGAAGCGAAGCGCCCTGCCTCCATGAAGGAGCCTTTAGCCTCCAAAAGGTCTGCCAGATTAAAGACCGAGATGAGGGTGTCAGGATGCCCGAAGCCGAGCTGAGATTCCCGTCCATTCAACGATCTTCGATACAGCTGCTCAGCCTCCCATAGAGGTTGCAGCTGCTGCAGGCACCTATGTTTTTAAAAGCCGGTCTTGGTATATAATCATGGAACATGCATACACCAGTTTGGTAAAGAACGCGTTGTTGGGCAGGACTCTGGCCATTTATGGAATCTCTGTGGTTGCCCCGCTCTCCCTGCGTGGATAGTCATGAGTGCTAGCTGCTTCCCGTCTTTACCGCTTCTTGAAGTCTTGAAATAGTTACTTGCCATGAGTCTTCTCCTCAGATTCTCATAATGAGCAAATGGTGGGGGTTATGAGAATTGTGAAGGTCATCAGAAAACTGGAGGTTTGACAAGTTCCCAAACTTCACTTCTTGCAAGAAAACTGACGAGTGTCAGTTGGAGTGACTAACAGGAATTCTGGGTAACCGACACTTATCTTCATGTTCGCTGAATTGGATCAAATTCGCCAAAGCATGTCCACATGTGGGCAGGCATCAACTCGCGTTCCCTCATTCCTCCAATGAGAATGGGAAGAAAGAAACGTCACTGGTCGCTCATCCCCTGGCCAGATTAGAAATGCTTTCCCCTCGACACTTCCGCAACCTCCGTCTACCACAAAGACCTCATCCCGGCCTCCTCCAACTTGCCCTGTTTGTACAAGAGAAAGGCTAAGTTGTTAGCCGAGGTGAGCGTGTCGGGGTGTTTGGCTCCCAGTTGGGACTCGCCACCTTCCAAGGCTCGGCGGTGGAGACCTTCTGCCTGGCGGCTCGAGATGGAGCGCTGAGGTGTCCACACATGAGAAGTGCCCCAGGTCTCGTGGCTTCACGCCCTGTATTCATTGCGGTATGCAAACTCACATATCAATCTCAATTCCGTGGTTTTGGTGGGTTGCCAATTTCAACCAGGAAATGATTGGGGACAGCTTCTTGGATGAGGATTGCCAAGATGCATCGAGATGCGCCTTTTCATTTGCATGTCATTGATTTGCCCGAATTTTTGGGTTGTCAGTTTCAACTGAAAGTAACAATTTTGCGGATGGGGGTCCAGCCATGTCCTACTTTCATTCGCGTGAATGAATGTGCATTAGTTCGCCCAAAAATCATCCAACAATACCGGGAAACAAAAAAAAATCCAGGCCTCATGCAGAGGGCACCCTGCAAATAAAAACAACTAATTACTTCATTGGGCTTCATTGACTTGGGTTGGCATCACTATGCTGTCGGTTCTCCAGCGTGACTACACAAGCCATGCAGTTCCCTTCTGCTATGGTGAATCTTGAAAAGTCTTCAGACGTGACGTGGTGAACTCTCTTGAAGGGCTGATGAAGGGTGACTATACTTCATGAGTTTTTGCTGAAGGCGGGCACATGGTCAGGAGGTATGGGAAACAAAAGCAAATAAGTATAATATAAACAAAAATCACTTCAACAAATGATAAATGAATGCATAAATGAATCACTTGTCACATCGTTTCATGGGCAATAAATCACCCGAAAATTACTATCCAAGAATAATGGGAAACAAGACAACATCCAAGCCTTTCCCTCTGGCTCAAGGAAGACCACCTCTCTTCAACCCAAAGACCTCAGCCCGGCCTCATCTAGCTTTCCCTGCTGCTGCAGGACAACAGAAAGGTGACTGATCGACTCAAGCGTCTTGGGATGGTCGGCACCGAGTTGTGTTTCTCGCCCCGCGAGGGCTGTGCGCTGCAGCTCCTCCGCCTGGCGACCGGAGATCCGACAGGTGGCGTGGGCATAAAATCCAAAGCCTCACGGCCTGGAAAGGGGGAAAAGGCGCACAATGTCCTCCACAGTTCTTGGACTTAAAGAAAAAGGTGCTTGTCGAGCACGCCCTGTATTCATTGCGGTATGCAAACTCACATATCAATCTCAATTCCGTAGTTTTGGTGGGTTGCCAATTTCAACCAGGAAATGATTGGGAACAGCTTCTTGGATGAGGATTGCCGAGAATTTGCATTTCATTAATTTGATACATGCGTATATTACATTCGCTCGGACTTGTAGGGTTGTCAATTTCGACTATGAAATTAACAGTTTCGTGGTACGAATTTCATGTGGCATGGATTTAACTAATTTGCATTAGTAGTTCGCCCGAACGATGAAAAAAATCCATTCATATCCATTCATGATTCCATATTAATCCAACAGTTGCAAAAAGAGAAAAACATCGGGCCTAATGCCCTAGCGAAACATCCAGAAAGGTCACCTCTCACCCCAAAGACCTCCGCCCGGCCTCAGCCAGCTTCCCCTGCTGCCGCAGGAGCATCGCCAGGATGTTCATGGAGGTGAGCGTCCGTGGGTGATTCGCACCGAGGTGCGCTTCGTGCCCTGCAAGAGCTCGGCGGTTGAGGGCCTCCGCCTGGCATCTCAGAGATGCCGGAGATGCCATACTTTCATTCAGCATGCGCCTATATATGCTATAGGCCTCATTTGCATTCATTTGCAGGAATTCACCCGAAAGATTTGACAGTTTTGCCATATTTTCATTTTGCCAATTACAACTATGAAATGTGGATGGAGGTCCCAACAATGTATTACGCCCAAGACAGCAATCCAACCAATATTGGGAAATCGAAAAGAAAGAATCCAGGCCTCAGGCCTTGGCCACAAAAAAAAATATGCCCCTGAAAAACCTCCTCCAGGAAGGTCACCTCTCTCCATCCAAAGACCTCAGCCCAGCCTGAGCCAGCTTCCCCTGCTGCCGCAGGAGCAGCGCCAGGCTGTCCATGGAGTTGAGCGTCCCTGGGTGATTCGCACCGAGGTGCGCTTCGCGCCCTGCAAGAGCTCGGCGGTTGAGGGCCTCCGCCTGGCATCTCAGAGATGCCGGAGATGCCATACTTTCATTCAGCATGCGCCTATATATGCTATAGGCATCCCCCTTGAAATTCGCCCCGAGAGGATGGGCGCACCAAAGTGTAGGGTGCCCAGCCTACCCCCCTACAAAATGGTATGGGGACACATACAAAATGGTAGCACCCATGGGGGTTGCTGCCTACAAAATGGTGGCACCAGGGTACCCCACCTGCCCACCAACATCAAGTATTTTGGGTTACCATCGTGTCCAAAAAACTGTGAAAAATGGGAGAACCATTTTGTAAGACACACAGCAACCCTGTGGTCGCACCCTGGTCTTTTTTGGGCGCGCAATTTGTAGACAGTTTACTCTGAATGAAATTTCTTCTTAAAATCTCTCAAGCAATCCTTGCATATCTCAAATTTTTGCATCTTGTGCATCTGGCAATCGGGTTTCATAAAGTATCGTCCAACAGAAGTAGTCAGATAGACTGGACCGAAGTAGTGGTCATCGTTTTTTTCTGAACCGGGGCTGGTTTCAAAATTTTGGAGGCTTTGAAAACTTTGCGATCATCTCCACCACAAAATCCACATGGTCGGTTAATATTTTATTGTGTTCAATATATTTACATTTGTGGATGTATTTATCAACTCCCCTTACCCATCTGCAAAATGGTATTCCAAATCTTCTACAAAATGGAGGTGCCTGTGACACTGGCATATGATCTTGTTCTCATATAAAGTGATATTGGGTGTGTATAAACAGGTCTCTTTCTACAACCCCCAACGGCAAAAAAAACAACATAAAATCTGATTTATAGGGGGCCCAGGGCCTAGCATTTTAAATGGGATGGGCCTACCAAAGTGTAGGGTGCCCAGCCTACCCCCCTACAAAATGGTATGGGGACACCTACAAAATGGTAGCACCCATGGGGGTTGCTGCCTACAAAATGGTGGCACCAGGGTACCCCACCTGCCCACCAACATCAAGTATTTTGGGTTAACATAGTGTCCAAAAAACTGTGAAAAATGGGAGAACCATTTTGTAAGACACACAGCAACCCTGTGGTCGCACCCTGGTCTTTTTTGGGCGACCAATTTGTAGACAGTTTACTCTGAATGAAATTTCTTCTTAAAATCTCTCAAGCAATCCTTGCATATCTCAAATTTTTGCATCTTGTGCATCTGGCAATCGGGTTTCATAAAGTATCGTCCAACAGAAGTAGTCAGATAGACTGGACCGAAGTAGTGGTCATCGCTTTTTTTTCTGGACCGGGGCTGGTTTCAAAATTTTGGAGGCTTTGAAAACTTTGCGATCATCTCCACCACAAAATCCACATGGTCGGTTAATATTTTTTTGTGTTCAAATATATTTACATTTGTGGATGTATTTATCAACTCCCCTTACCCATCTACAAAATGGTATTCCAAATCTTCTACAAAATGGAGGTGCCTGACACTGGCATATGATCTTGTTCTCATATAAAGTGATGTTGGGTGTGTATAAACAGGTCTCTTTCTACAAAATGGAGTGCCCCGACGGCAAAAAAAAAACATAAAATCTGGTTTATAGGGGGCCCAAGGCCTACCATTTTAAATGGGAAATGTCAACGGGCATCTATAGGCCTCATTTGCATTCATTTGCAGGAATTCACCCGAAAGATTTGGCAGTTTTGCCATATTTTCATTTTGCCAATTACAACTATGAAATGTGGATGGAGGTCCCAACAATGTATTACGCCCAAGAAAGCAATCCAACCAATATTGGGAAATCGAAAAGAAAGAATCCAGGCCTCAGGCCTTGGCCACAAAAAAAATTATGCCCCTGAAAAACTTCCTCCAGGAAGGTCACCACCTCTCTCCATCCAAAGACCTCAGCCCCGCCTCAGCCAGCTTTCCCCGCTCCCGCAGAAGCGCTGCAAGGCTGATCATGGAGGTGAGCGTGTCCGGGTGATTCGCACCGAGGTGCGCTTCGCGCCCTGCAAGAGCTCGGCGGTTGAGGGCCTCCGCCTGGCATCTCAGAGATGCCGGAGATGCCATACTTTCATTCAGCATGCGCCTATATATGCTATAGGCCTCATTTGCATTCATTTGCAGGAATTCACCCGAAAGATTTGACAGTTTTGCCATATTTTCATTTTGCCAATTACAACTATGAAATGTGGATGGAGGTCCCAACAATGTATTACGCCCAAGAAAGCAATCCAACCAATCTTGGGAAATCGAAAAGAAAGAATCCAGGCCTCAGGCCTTGGCCACAAAAAAAAATATGCCCCTGAAAAACTTCCTCCAGGAAGGTCACCACCTCTCTCCATCCAAAGACCTCAGCCCCGCCTCAGCCAGCTTTCCCCGCTCCCGCAGAAGCGCTGCAAGGCTGATCATGGAGGTGAGCGTGTCCGGGTGATTCGCACCGAGGTGCGCTTCGCGCCCTGCAAGAGCTCGGCGGTTGAGGGCCTCCGCCTGGCATCTCAGAGATGCCGGAGATGCCATACTTTCATTCAGCATGCGCCTATATATGCTATAGGCCTCATTTGCATTCATTTGCAGGAATTTACCCGAAAGATTTGACAGTTTTGCCATATTTTCATTTTGCCAGTTACAACTATGAAATGTGGATGGAAGTCCCAACAATGTATTACGCCCAAGAAAGCAATCCAACCAATATTGGGAAATCGAAAAGAAAGAATCCAGGCCCCAGGCCTTGGCCACAAAAAAAAATATGCCCCTGAAAAACTTCCTCCAGGAAGGTCACCACCTCTCTTCACGAAAGACCTCAGCCCGGCCTCATCGAGCTTCCCCTGCTGCTGCAGGAGCGCGGCAAGGTTGTTCATGGACTGAAGCGTGTGCGGATGATTCGCACCGAGGTGCGCTTCGCGCTCTGCAAGAGCTCGGCGCTGCAGGGCCTCCGCCTGGCGTCTCGGGATGGCACCGGTGGTGTGGGGCCCCAGGCCTGGATCCGCCTGCGAGTACCATGTGGAAAGGGAAGAAAGGTGGGCAACGGCCTTGAGTTTGGACTGCTGAAAAAGATGTCAAGTACAATTGTACCATGTAAATGCACACATAATTCAAAACTTGAAGAATAAAACGCAAAGTTCGACGAGTTGACATTTCAACATAATTTGGATGTGCGTCATCGTCGTTCCAATCTTCCCATTTGCAAATAAATTCCAACCTCAGGGTGCATCTGTTCTGTGATTTTTTTTGCTAAAACGCTTTGACAGCCTCAGACATCTCAGACTGAAACTTGCAACGCGGCATCTGTTCTTTGCAAACATCTTTTGCTAAACTTTGACATGTCCATGTTTTGGCACGTCCATACATGACGTGATTTGAGATGATTTGAGATGATTTGCGTAAAATTGACATGTTCATGTAGCATCGCACTTCTACATAGATATGACAAATTCTGAGATGATCTGAAAATGTGGTTGTTGTTTCCCTGCAATTTTTCCCAACCTTTCCCAACACAAAATGCAGCACCATCCACCCGCCACGGTGACTGCAGCACGGCACATCAGCGGCGCCTCGCTAAACTTCCCCAGCTGCTTCAGAACGTACCCCAAGTTGTTCACCACGGTGAGTGTGTCGCGGTGCTCGGGGCCCAGGCGCCGCTCGACGCCGTCCAGGTCTCGGCGCAGCAGCGGCTCCGCCTCCGTGGGGGCGCCGCGCTCCACCAGCACGTACGCCAGCCTCAGCCGTGGATCGCCACGGGAGCCGAAAAGTTCCCCACGGCTCCGTGGGGGAAAGGGCACTTTTTTACTATTTGTGGCTTCGTGGCATATTTTTGGATCCAAATCTCTGGTGAGAAAACAAGATTCTGGGATTCGAATTGTTTTGTTGCTATTTGATGCTTGTTGTATAAATACTGTTGCCTACTGCAATCTACAGCTTTCACTTTGCGGCTTTGT